CATCCACTCGGAGATGATGACGTCCACTTTGTCCACGGGCAGAGAAATGTCCTCGATCCTCCCCTTGATCAGAGTCACCCTGTCCTCCAGACCGTTCAACCTGAAGGACACGAAGGAGGAGAAGGTCAGAGGAGGAGGAGGACAGAGGAGGAGAAGGACAGAGGAGGAGGACAGAGGAGGAGGTCAGAGGAGGAGGTCAGAGGAGGAGGTCAGAGGAGGAGGTCAGAGGAGGAGGAGGTCAGAGGAGGAGGTCAGAGGAGGAGGTCAGAGGAGGAGGTCAGAGGAGGAGAGGAGGAGGAGGTCAGAGGAGGAGGAGAGGAGGTCAGAGGAGGAGTCAGAGGAGGAGGAGAGGAGGAGGTCAGAGAGGAGGTCAGAGGAGGACGAGGAGCAGAGAGTCAAGGAGGAGGTCAGAGGACACACACAGAGGAGGAGGAGGTCAGAGGAGGAGCTTCAGAGGAGGACAAGGACTTCTCAAACAATAAAACTCTTCATAAATCAGACACAGACAGAACACAGAGGAGATACTTCCACCTCTGAGATGTTTCTCCATCACCGTTTCTACAGAACCTCTGCTCTGTGGAGATGTTCTACTCTGAGGTTCTACTGTGATGTTCTACTCAAATGTTCTGCTGTGATGATCTACTGTGATGTTCTACTGTGATGTTCTGCTCTGAGGAGATGTTCTACCCTGATGTTCTGCACTGATGTTCCACTCAAATGTTCTGCTCTGATGTTCTGCTCTGATGTTCTGCTCTGATGTTCTGCTCTGTGGAGATGTTCTGCCCTGACATTCTGCTCAGCTCCTTGAGACCCGTCAGTTCCAGGACCTGACTGGCGCAGGTGGATTTGGGTTTTTTTCGGGTCGTATCTCCTCGCACAAAGGCCGGCGTTTGACTGTTGGGTGTAATTCCACTCCGGCGGGAGCGGCGGCGGGAGCGGCGGCGGGAGCGGCGGGAGCGGGGCGCGGCGGCGGCGGCGGCGAGCGGCGGCGGGAGCGGCGCGTCTCGTTCTCGTTCTGGTGGTGTTTTTTTGTCGCTCGGTGTCATCGCTCAAAGGCGAGCGGCGAGTCGTGTTTGGACAGATCTCATTAAAAGTGAAGCTTCCATTTCAAGTGAAGTGAGTCGCACAGACACAAGACGAATGAGCCACAATGACGACATTTAATTACACCAGACTCATATTTCCACTCGCTAAAAAGAACCAGAGACGGAGGGAGAGAGGGAGAGAGGGAGGAGAGAGAGAGGGAGGAGAGAGGAGAGAGAGAGAGAGAGGAGAGAGGGAGAGAGGGAGAGAGGGAGAGAGAGAGGGAGAGAGGAGAGGAGAGGAGAGGAGAGAGGGAGGAGGAGAGGAGGGAGAGAGGGAGGAGAGGAGGAGAGAGAGAGAGAGGAGAGGAGGAGAGGGAGAGAGGGAGAGAGAGAGAGGAGAGAGGGGAGAGAGAGGAGGGAGGAGAGAGGGAGAGAGAGGAGGAGAGAGAGAGGGAGGGAGAGAGAGAGGAGAGGGAGAGAGGAGAGAGGGAGGAGAGAGGGAGAGAGGGAGGAGAGGGAGAGAGAGGAGAGGAGAGAGGGGAGAGAGGGAGGAGGAGAGAGGGAGGGAGAGGGAGAGAGAGGAGGGAGAGAGAGGAGGAGGAGAGAGAGAGAGAGAGGGAGAGAGAGAGGAGGAGGAGAGGAGAGAGGAGAGGAGAGAGAGAGGGAGAGAGAGAGAGAGGAGGAGAGAGGAGAGGGGAGAGAGGAGGAGAGAGGGAGAGAGGGAGGAGAGAGGGAGAGAGGGAGGAGACACCGCGCTCATATTTCCACTCGCTAAAAAGAGAGAGAGACAGAGAGATAGAGGAGGATTAGAGGAAAGAGAGAAGAGGAGAGGAGGATGAGGGACACTGAGCTAAACATTTTCTGCTGAACGAGGAGGTTTCTGGTTTGACTCAGACACCAGCGCGTCCACAGAGGAGACGCTAAAAACAAACTCACACCTGAACACCTGAACCCCTGAACACCTGAACCCCTGAACACCTGAACACCTGAACACCTGAACACCCTGAACACCTGAACACCCTGAACACCCTGAACACCTGAACCCCTGAACACCTGAACCCCTGAACACCTGAACAACCCTGAACACCTGAACACCTGAACCCCTGAACACCTGAACCCCTGAACCCCTGAACACCTGAACACCTGAACCCTGAACCCTGAACACCTGAACACCTGAACACCTGAACCCCTCAACACCTGAACACCTGAACTGAACACCTGAACCCTGAACTGAACACCTGAACAACCTGAACCCCTGAACACCTGAACCCTGAACCCTGAACACAACTGAACTGAACACCAACCTGAACCCCTGAACACCTGAACACCTGAACCCCTGAACCCCTGAACCCCTGAACACCCTGAACACCTGAACCCTGAACACTGAACACTGAACCCCTGAACACCTGAACACCTGAACCTGAACCCCTGAACCCTGAACCCTGAACACCTGAACACCTGAACCCCTGAACACCTGAACCCCTGAACCCCTGAACACCTGAACACCTGAACACCTGAACACCTGAAAACCTGAACACCTGAACCCCTCAACACCTGAACACTTGAACCCCTGAACACCTGAACACCTGAACCCCTGAACACTTGAACCCCTGAACACCTGAACACTTGAACACCTGAACCCCTGAACACTTGAACCCTGAACACCTGAACCCCTGAAAACCTGAACACCTTGAACCCCTGAACACCTGAACACTTGAACCCCTGAACACCTGAACCCCTGAACACTTGAACCCCTGAACACCTGAACACCCCCTGAACACCTGAACACTTGAACCCCTGAACACCTTGAACCCCTGAACACCTGAACCCTGAACACCTGAACCTGCGTGTCATTTGTTCAGTCGTTTTTCAAAATTAAACCAAAAATGAGAAAATGAAAAAAAATATATATATATTTTCTTCATTATTTGTCTCCAAAACCAAAATGGAAAAAAAAAAACGGATAATGAACTAAACAAGAACTAAACCAGGTCAAGCAGGACTAGACCAGTCTCAGCTCCGGTCTCAGTCCCAGTCTGGTCTCGATCTCAGCTCTGGTCTCAGTCCCAGTCTGGTCTCGATCTCAGCTCTGGTCTCAGTCCCAGTCTGGTCCTGACACTCAGTCCTGGTTCAGATCTAGTTCAGACTAGAGACCTGCGAGACCTGACACAAAACAGAGCGGCACGGGACACATTTTGAAAACTCACGGCGGGTTTGGGCAGGAGCAGGAAGGACGATAAACTCCAGTCCCACAAATATACAAATGATGAATGTAAGAACATATCAGGCATCTGGCTCAGACGTCTGTTCTGACGTCTCCTGGACGTGTCCCTCAGGAGGTGTTCATGTCCCACCGGGAGGAGGAGAAGACCCAGGACACACTGGAGGGACTATGTCTCTGGACTGGCCTGGGAACACCTCGGGGTTCCCCCGGAAGAGCTGGAGGAAGTGTCTGGGGTGAAGGAAGTCTGGGAGTCGCTGCTTAGACTGATGCCCCCGAGACCCGACCCCGGATAAGTGGAAGAAAATGGATGGATGGATAAACCAGGTCTAAAACCAGGACTAAACCAGGATTTAGGCAGGACTTGACCATGCGGCGGGACCGTCCACCGCCTCCTCCCAGACGCAGCCGAAGTCTTTTCTTTTCTCCCTGTTTAATGAAGCTTAACAAAGTGAAGGTTCCATCCTGTGGGACTTGCGGGAGGGAGCAGGACTGAAAATTACAATTTGGACCAATCAGAGCACAAGCTGGTGGAGCGGGGCGAGTGCGGCTCGGAGCGGGCGCGGCTCGGAGCGGGCGCGGCTCGGAGCGGGCGCGGGCTCGGAGCGGGCGCGGCTCGGAGCGGGCGCGGCTCAGTCTGACAAAGACACTTTAGGAGCCATGAGGATTTAAACATTTTAAAACGTTTCTGTTGTGAAAATAGAAAAGAATCAAACAGAATCGTCCCTTTGTGAAACCGACGCCCTGAACACGAACAGGTTCAAGAGAATCTGCAGGACCTGGAGCGACCAGAGGCAGAGGGGGCGGGGCTTATCAGGTTTATTATAGATCCATGAGCAGCAGTGCATGATGGGAGGAGAGGTGCATGATGGGAGAGGGGCGGGTGACCTCCAGGACCCGACTCCGTCTCGGCTCGTCAGGTTCAATAAAAGACCTGTCACCGACCTGATTTACTCCAGTACAGGGACTAAACCAAACCAGGACTAAACCAGGACTGAACCGGGACTGAACCGGGACTGAACCAGGACTAAACCTGGACTAAACCTGGACTAAACCGGAACTGAACCGGGACAAAACCGGAACTAAACCAGGACTAAACCTGGACAAAAAGTGTAAAAGTATAAAAGTGTAAAAGTGGGCGGGACCTGACGATGTCCATGGCCTGATAGACGATCTCTGATTGGTCGACGCCGATGACGCGTTTGGCTCCGGCTTTAGCGGCGAACATGGAGAGAATCCCGGTGCCACAGCCCACGTCCAGAACCACCTGAGAACACGGAACAGAAACATAAAACACCAACAGAACATCACCTGGACACACGAGCTCAGCATGTACAGAGAATAAGAGTTTAAAAATAAATAAAATCAAAATAAAATAAAATAAACATAAATAAAATAAAACTACATAAAATAAAATAAAAACTAAATAAATAAAACCATTTTATTTTATGTTATGTTAAATTAAAAATAAATTAAATTAAAATTAAATTAAATTAAAAAATTAAATTAAATTTAAATTTAAATTTAAATTAAATTTAAATTAAATTTAAATTAAATTTAAATTAAATTTAAATTAAATCAAATCAAATTACAGATTTAAGAGCAGATCCAATTGTAAAACAATTGGAGGGGGAGAAAAAAAAAGGAGGGGAGAGGAGAGAGAGAGAAGAGAGAAGAGAGAGGGAGCAGAGATAGAGAGATGAGGAAGAGGAGCAGGAAGAAAAGAGTGAGATGTGAGAGAGGGAAAGGAGAGT